GGTTTCTGGGGTTTTGTTTAGCTTCTATATTTGCTACATAGTTGCTTAGAGTTGCAGCTGAGAGGCCGGCAAGTCAGGCGGGGAACGTTGGAGTCCGCAGTCACTGGAGCAAGCAAGCCTCCCTGTTCGCTTCAGTGCATGGCTGCCGGCCGCCATCTTGGCTGGCAGTTAATTTGCATATCGCCCTGATTAGCCAATGAGAAGGGTAGCAGATGTACGGCTAATTACCATGTTTCTCTTTTATTAGATAGGAGGATAGATATTTCTGTGGATAATTCCTAATGGGGAATGTCAGTAAGCCAGTGAAACAGATTCACTATGAAGTTTAGGGGAAATTTAACTGGTCTTTTCTTTGCTCCTCCCACTAACAGGAGCTCATCTCAGGTGAGTGGGACAGAATGCTGGCAAACAGTGTGGATTTTACTTTACATTCATACAGTTTCAGTTAAAAATTGAAAATACTACACTTCTCAACAGTGATTTTTTTCTCCTCTCCCAAATGGTTTCAGAAGGCATTTGAGGAGGAATTGACTCGACTTTTGGTTGGTGGGGTGAATATTTGGTTAAAGAAAAATTATTTCTTTTGCCTTAAAATGGCAACATTTTGGTAAAATGGTGTCTTCTGCCCTAGCTTATCCATTACTAACAGAGGCATCTTCACAGGTCTGTCTCTCTGTGCCTCAGTTTCCTCATTTGTAAAAGAAGGATAAACTTACTGCTAACGAGGAGAGGGAATCAAGATGCCTTTAATTCCTCAAGCATTTATTGAATTTCTTATTCTGTGCCAGACTCTGTTTGAGGCAATTGAGGGTTGGGGTCCAACATGGAAACATGTAGACCCTCCCTTTAAGCCATAGGAGGGAGGGATGCTGTACCACAGTCTGTGCAGGCAGAAGGTGCTGAGGTGGTCTTAGGGATATTTTGTGGGAGTTAAGTGTTCAGTATAAAGTGATGGTCTCTAATAAACCCAAAACATAGGGAACTCAGAACAACCATTGAGTGACTGGTAAGTTTAGATTCTATCTTTAACATTTCTAGCCTTTTTTTTTTTTAAGCAGTTGTGTTTATTGTTCTGGGGAATTTGAGGGAGTGGCATTCTCTAGTGTTCTTGTATTAACCAGTCATATTTATTTTTAAGCTACATATGTTCAAGTTTGAAACATGCATGGCAAACATTTTCCTGACTGCATAAACTGCTCATCCGCGGTCAGAGATGCCGTCATTAAATCTGATTTTAACAGCTCTGGATTCTTTCATGCAGCTCGTCAGGGAGCACCAGGAAAGAGCATTTCACAGTAACTGTGCATGGCAAAGGCTGCAGGCTGGGAATTCCGAGTGTGGATGGATATTCAGAAAGCTGGAAATTTTGGTGGTGGGGGTGGAGTGAGAATGGGCTTACTCCCTTAGCTCAGTGTCTCTGCCAACAGGCTCTGAGTCAGGATGGGAAGCAGTACTACGGACACCTCATCGGAGCAGAATGTGGCACATGAGGAAAGACATTGGGAGCAGAGGACCAGCCAGTTGTACTGATCCTTGCTTGAGCCTAGTTTACAGTGATTCTGTTTTGAGTTTTAATCCTGTGTTGGTTTAACGGTGTTTGGGTTGAAGGTAATTAATGTTCTCTTTGCATCTTGGGGTCTGAACATCTGTGTCCCTCTATTTTAACATTATATGTTTTGTTCAAATTTTTTTTCTACTAGTATTTTATAATACAATCAGCAAACAATATATGTCAAAGATGAAAACAAATGTAGTAAAGGTTTCCTTAAGATATTGAATATATAACTTCATTTACTTGCGATTCATAATTTTTTTCCTAAACTGCTGTAAAATCAGCAAAAATGCCTTGGCAATTTTAGCATAGTTCCTAGGATATTGGTTGGCACTCAAAGGGTTAAAGGTAAAGCTGTTTGACCATGCGGATCTGAGCCTGCTTCTGATCTTCACTTGAACTTGTGATCTGTGTCTAGTTTTTCTCAGCTGCTGAAATAATTGGAAGGATAAAAATATTGAGTGCCTTGTTTTCAAGAAAGGCCAATTAAAATTAGCTATTTAGAGGCAATTCAAATTGCCTATGAACCCAGTGTAAGATTTGTTCTATATTTAGAATACCATTTCTAAGTTATTTAATTAGTATCTAATTCAGTGTTAGAAAGATGACTGGGAAACTAAATAGGGAAATAATATGAGTCTATCAGTGGAAGGTAACAAATGGGAGATTGCTTTTCCAATTTGAGAGAAGAGATGTAATAAACTTAAGCTATGGTTGAAATGAAATATGTGTAGTTTACTAATTAATGTATTTTTCAAAAACTTTGAGATTAAGTAGACTTCCAAAATGTCTGATACATTTAAAAAATAAACTTGACATATACAACGTGTTAGTGTTGTAATTTCTGAACATCATTTGCTTACGGAAATAAAATAATGGAACCAGTGGGTAAAAATCTGTTGAGTCGACTTGGGGAAGTATTTTGGTTAATGGACTATTTTGTTTAACTCTCTGTTCTTTATATATACCAATAGATATTTACCATTCTAAGGAATTTTATTTTCCTGTTTTTCAGTTTTAAAAAGAGCATTCTCGCTGCATAAAGCACATTCAATAAAGAATATGGAAAATACTTTTCAATTGGTGAAAAATATTATACCTCCTCTAACTACCAAGAAGCACAAAGGGCAAGATGGAAGAATAGGTATAGTTGGAGGCTGTCAAGAGTAAGTGACTTGGAAAATGTTAGTATTTAAACAGTTAATCTTTATTATCTGTCTGTCTACCTACCTATCAGCCATCCAGTCAACTGCCCATTTGTCTAGTTGAACCCTCAGTAATTATTTCCAAATGTAGTCTGATATTATGACATTTGGTATTTTTCAGTGATGAACTTTAAGGTTGAATAGGAGAAAACTCTAAGGGGCCCTGATTGAGCTGTTCATTGGTGTGTGTTAATGTAAAGATTTTTTGCCTGTGGTTGGGAGATGGGACTATTTTTTCTTTTCTTATACTTTTCTCTATTGTTCAGACTTATACCATAAGCATGTATTACTTTTGTAATGAGGATAAAAACACTCAGCATCTGCTTGGTTTACTTTGTTAATTTAAAGATATTCCTGGAAGTCATTTATTAAATTGGACAGATCCTAGCTTTTTTTAAGGCCTGTTCTAGTTTTATATATTCTGCTGCTATGTTGTTTGACACGTAAAGATTTATAATTTGTCCGTGCTCGCAAATGATACCTACTGCCTTTGACTTAAATTCGACCTTGGTTAGTATTTCTGTTTCTGCTTACATTCTGTGTGCTCTTTACCTAGCCCTGTATTTTTAATGGTTTAGGTAGTTAGCTATACTTACTTTAAATAATATGTATGTAACTAGATTTTGTTTTCTTACCCGATATGACTGACTGACAGTGACTACTCTTTTGTTTTTTAATCCTCACCTGAGGAAATTTTTCCATTGATTTTTATTTATTTGTTTGTTTGTTTATTGGTTTCAGAGAGGACGGGAGAGGGAAAAAAAGTCTACTTAATCTCCTGCACGCCCCCTATTGGGGATTGAGCCGCAACCTGGGCATGTGCCCTTGACTGGAATCGAACCTAGGACCTTTCAGTCCGCAGGCCTACACTCTATCCACTGAGCCAAACCAGCTAGGGCTCCATTGATTTTTAGAGAGAGTGGAATGGAGGTGGGGGGAGACAGAGAGAAACATTGATGTGAGAGAGACACATTGATTGGTTGCCTCCTGCACACGCCACAACTGGGGTGGGGATTGAGCCTGCAATCCACGTACGTGCCCTTGACCGGTGCCCGAGTCTGGAACCAGTCTGAGGACTGGCTCTCTATCCATTGAACCAAACTGGCTAGAGCTAGACTGATTCTTTATGAGTGGGTAAGTGAATATATGGTATTCATTGTACAGATGGGCCATAATTTATTTAACCAAGTCCCTGTTGATAGGCAGTTGGTTAACTCTATCCTTTTTTTCAATTAATCTGTCTGTAGACATCCCTTTACATATCTCCTTGTATACCCATCTGGTTATAATCAAGGGAACAGTTCCTAGAAGAATTTTTACTGGAGCAGAGTACATAGACATTTTAATGTTGATAAATGTTGAAAATGGTTCTCCCAAAATTGCACTAGTGCAGCCGTGGGCAAACTACGGCCCGCGGGCCGGATCCGGCCCGTTTGAAATGAATAAAACTAAAAGAAAAAAAAAGACCGTACCCTTTTATGTAATGATGTTTACTTTGAATTTATATTAGTTCACACAAACACTCCATCCATGCTTTTGTTCCGGCCCTCCGGTCCAGTTTAAGAACCCATTGTGGCCCTCAAGTCAAAAAGTTTGCCCACCCCTG